TTATCACTAGTTAGTTGGGAGAAGAGACCAACACCCACCTCACCACAACCCCCTTTCAGGTAGCTGTAGAGAGCAATGAGGTCTCCCCTCAGCCTCTTCTTCTCCAGACTGAACACCCTCAGTTCCCTCAGCTGCTCCTCATCAGACTTGTGCTCCAGACCCTTCACCAGCTCCATTTCCCTTCTCTGGATACAAATCAACGTCCTTCTTGTCATGAGGCGCCCAAAACCGAACACAGGATTTGAGATGCGGCCTCACCAGTGCCGAGTACAGGGGCACGATCCCTGCCCTGCTCCTGCTGGCCACACTAGTGCTGATACAGGCCAGGACGCTGTTGGCCTTCTTGGCCACCTGGGCACACTGCTGGCTCATGTTCAGCCGGCTGCCGACCAGCACCCCCAGGTCCTTTTCCACTGGACAAATTAAACATTACGTATGAAAAGCTACTCCAGGAATCAGTTGAGGCTAAACAGTTAATGCATGCCAAAAAAAGAAAAAAAAAAATCAGTAAATAGCAAAGTTAAATTCTAGGTGTTAATAAAAATGGACCCACACAACACTGCTGCACCAGACAAGCCGAAGCGCTGTAGTCCGGTGTATATACTTTGCCGTATATATGCCACGGCAGCAGAAGCGCCTCACTTCCCAGAGTGTGCTAAAAACGGAGTTTACTCAAAAGAACCATAATTTGACCGCAGAAGCTCAGTGTTTATCTGCTTAACAGTACAATTCGGGGCTAAAAGGGAGATTATCTGTTCTAGTAAAGCTTCGTGAATCATTATACACCCAAGGGACTAAAGCAGAAACGCTCATCTTCACTGCGGAAAGGCAACAAGTTGAGTTTCCCGGCACAGGATTTACAGAAATCTCACTTGCATATTTCTCTTTAGAAAGGGAATTGCTGCTTGAAGACCCATCACACTGAGAAGCTAACACTTTTAACTCAAAATACCTGGAGTCTGCCCAGAAAACAGTGCCCTACTTCACCCGGCTTGCTCTCACAACAGAAATAGCCCTCCAAATGCCGACCCCCAAACACCAGAGATCCACCAGCACACCACGGCTCCTCTCTTTCATATATAAAAGACTAAAACCTGCATCTTACGAGACTGCAGTCTGCAGAGAAATTGTAATTGCTGAAGGGGGAACGATGCCGGGATCGCTGCGCATATTCACTGTATGGCAAAATCACGAGCCCCCTCGCCCAGCAAAACTCCTCCAACCATGGGGAAAAACCATTCCTGAGGTTTGAACGTTAGACACGCAGAAAGGTGGGAAACATGAGCGCACGTTGCCCGTGTCATTTCAGGTCAGTGCTCCCGAGTATTAATGTATAATTTTATTTTCGGGACTGTTTTGTATTTATTTTCTTAAGGCACACGCCTCATTCTGATCAAACGTTGCGCAGACCTCAATTAACACGAAGTGATTCAGCACCTTATCCAGGATCTTACTGAACGTCTCAAACCCTGGTTCTGAAGAAAGAGCTGTGGATTTCTACATACGGTTTTGTAGCGTGATGATCACTGGAGCACACGCGTGCCCTCAAAAATTAGCACGTCTGCGTTCACGATGACTCGACGGCAGGCAGGGAGCGGAGCTGCTCCACGCCATCAAACGTGCAGCCAAGGCAGAGATTGCGGTCGATCTATGCACCGGATGGGGGTTTCAGCGATACGATTGATTTTAAGATTACGCGTTTCAGACGCACCAGCACGCCTCTGCAGCTCGCAGCCTTGTGCTGCCAAAGCCATGGAGAAGACGAGCGTGCCACTGCAAGCTGCCCGCTTGGCTGGATCCGCTCAGCGGGACACGGCTCTGCAGCGGAGAGGAGAAAGCCAATTCCCTGCGACAGCGTTACGCTGCCTTAGCCCTAAGGTCCCTTCTTCCCCTCTTCCGCTCATGACGCGCCCTCCGATTTCTGCGAGAAACGGGGCAGCACACCACGGGAGAGCAGCCTCGCTCTTAGCCTTCTCTGTTACCAAGTTCAGAGTCTTGTGAAAGAGATACCACTTGATCATCAAAAACCGGACCAAAAAGAGGCAAAAAAAGAAAACATGAGCGAGACTTGCACGGGAAACTTAACTTCTCCCATGTCCTAGCCTGAGTGCTCAGCTTGGCAACTTCAATAATGCTCTTTTCATTCACGCATGTCTCTTTTGTCCCCATATTTTTGGGGGGTTGCATGGGTTTTCTGCGTGTGGGTTTTTCCCCTCCTTGATGCAAATATCACCACCAGGTGACAAGAAGAGCACCAGATGAGCAGGGCTGGGACCCTCATTTTCCATACAAAGCCTTGTGCCGAGCCGGGGGAGTCACTCTCCGCAAGCCGGCTCCCGAACGGGATGCAATGCTCAAGCAATCCCCGATTTGCTGCCGACAGCGGCAGACCAAGGACTTCAGAGCCCACGCTGGAAGGGATCGTACCCCGGGGAGCACAGGTCCCCTGCGGTCACCCCAAGGAGCCCCGTCCCTCCTTCGGGCCCGTCCCACCCAACCCACCCCTCTGCGCTCTCCTTCCCTACCCAGCCGCCCGCCCTGTCCTCGTTTGTCCAAGTTACAGCTCCAAAGCCTCAGGCACCAAGGCTTCACAGCCAAATTCCCTAGATGATTATTCTTATTATTTTTAATCAGGAGCAAATCAACGTATTTTTCCTTAGCTGCCTTCTTGGAAACAGCAAGACTTGTTTTGGCAGCAATCATCTCAAAAATTTCATCTGATGTAGACACCTAACAAGGGAAAGTTTAAGGTCAAAATCTTAAAGTTCGGAAAAATCACAAGCAATTGAAAACAGCCTCATATTATTTACAGGAAATGCAACACAACCTTAACAGACAGTGCTGTCAGTTCTGTTAATAATTAAAAGGCAGCAATCTATTACATTATTTTTAGTTGTGCCCTTACTCTCCTACACACAAGGGTCTTAAAATATCTGTGCGTCTGGGAAAAGTCTTTTTCCATGTCAGCACTTGGATGCTATCCCACGGGATAGATTTGCCACACGCATACAAGCGCTAGTACGAAAACCATTTTAACTCATTACTTATATAAATCAAACACAGGGAAATCGCCCCTGTGCAATCAGTTAAATTACACCCCCCCCCCCGCCCCGCCGCCGCGGCCGCAGCCCCCCCCCCGCCGCTGCTACGGACGCGACAGCTCGCAGCTCTAACAAAGCTGAAATTCAGAGTGCTGTGGGAGGACTCGCTCGGCTCCGGTCGCACACGCTCTCCAGCTCCTGGGAGGTCCAAGTGAAACTCTGAATGAGTTCAGTGGGTACGTCACGGCAAAGTCTTTGGACGCTTATAAGTGTTGGCAACGGAAAAGCCTTAAAAACCTCAAACAAACAAACCGCCGAGCTGACATTTATTTCCGAACAAAGAAACCCTACCTAGCGCCCCGCGTCCAACGATGCTGGTCACGAAGCGTGTTTGGAGGGGGGTAAGAGAAATTTCTATGGCCGCGGCAGGTCCCCACCGCCCCAGTGCGCGGGGCTGAATGAGGCCCCGGGCTGGCACACGCGGTGCGCGGTGGCAGCTCTCCAGAAGTACATGATTGACGTCAGTAACTTGTGTAATCATCCTGCCTTAGCTCGAGTCTATAAACAAAGTTTTGGGGGGTTGTGTGGTGGTTTTTTCTTCTTGTATTTTATTTTTTAATCCAGCTCTCAGTACTTGTATTTTCTCATAGGACTGGAACAGTGAAAATATTTGGAGAAACCTCTACCGTAAATTAAACTGCAGCTATCCGAAAGGTCCCCCTGCCACCGAACTTGTCCTCCCAAGACTGAAGCCTGCTACTGGTTTTGCTTGTTTCTTAAACAAAGGCACCATTGGAACTCTTTGAGAAAAAAATCTTAGAAAGCCTCAGAACATTACAAATCAGAGTCAGAAAAATATCACACTGATTATGACCAATTTCTCCCTTCCCCAACAGCCTTTTTATATTGCAAGTCTAGCAACAGACTGTGCCTTCTGAAATCCTGGGAGAAAACCTCAGCTGGGGTAAAACATCACAGCTCCATCCCTGTCACTTGTGATCAGACCTGTTGCACTTAAAAGGTACCTTTCCCTGGGCTGAAACATCAGGATGGATTTTGTCTTTTTTAATGCATACTCATGCGATCATCCCAAAGCAGCTGTGTTTCGGCTTCAGCTACAATATTGGGCTGCCCAGACAGATTATTTTGGCTACACAGCAATTGCAAAAATCTGTTCACTGGTGAGTGGTGCTCTGCAACGTTCACCTGACGTTCTCCAAGTGATTTACAGACAGCGAGATAATAAACATAGTGTTTGCTTTCTTCGAAGCGATTTTTGAACTACATCTAATTAATCTTCAAAACAACCTCTGCAGGATGCACAGCAAGGCTGTCCTCATTTTCAGGAGAAGAAATGGATAGGACACCGCAATGCTTTACACAGGGCCATAGTTAAGAGAATCTGGACTGGAGATGGGAACAGTTTTTCTCTTTCCAAAGGTAATTCCAGTGCAAAATGCTTCAGTAAATCGGAATATCTACACTTTCAATTATTTTCTGGTGTTGAAATGTCTGAAATCCCTCGCTTTTTATTTTTTTCTCAAATCCATACTACTGCTCCTTCTCCCTTTCAAACTGAATATATACACAGTAGGTATTCTCCTCATATTCCCTGACAGCATTTTATGTTTTCTGCCACAAAACTGACAAAAGATCCTGATGTGGATGAACAGCAGCAACGACAACTTTAAGAATTACTACTGGAAACCAGAAGTTTGAACTATGCCGCCTTTCCACGGTCTGCAACAGTGGTATTGATCTTCCCCTTGGTGATGGATGTCCACATCCTTGTTGATGTATTTCTCAAAATCATGAAAAAGAAGTTCAAGGAAGAAGGCCAGTTCGTTATGGAGGTAAAGACCACATACATTACCGCACAAGAAACTCTGAAATAGCGTTGGCTAAGGTTGGTATTGATGCTGTATGAGGAAAAAAAGACTTTAAAAGCGTCATGCCTACCTTGTTGATGTGCAGTTGCTGTTGCTGGAATTGCTGTTTGTGTTTCTCCAAGAACTGCTGGTGCTGCTGCTGGATCACTAACTGCTGGAGCGCCTGGGCGTTCTGGGGAAGGGGAGCAGACTGCGTGCGCCCCAGTGGGCGATGCTGCCGGAGTTTGTGTATTGAAGGGGAGACCCGTTCTCCACCAACCAGAGACTGTGCATGGAGGGGCAGTCCTGAAAGATACCAGTCTGAAGATAATATGGAGGAAAAAACAGCAGAGGAGAAAAAAAAGGAAGAAGAAAGGAAGGGAGAAAATGGCTGTTGAGTAACACTGATGGTGACAATGATATATAATGTTAAAACCAGCCACCTCGCCATTTACAGCTGAAGCATCCTTAAAAGAGAACAGATAACGATTAATTACCGTTGGATGGAGTAATACTTTGCTTTGGTTTGAATTCTTTCTTTGACTGTTTACTCAGAGACCCCAGGGAAACGCTGCATTTCTTAAAATCGGCAAAACCTTACGGGACCCTTCCATCGCTCGGTGGGTGACGTGCACTAAGATCACAGTGGTAGCCTGGAGAAGTTAAAGTCTTACAGTTTGCCTTGGTAAAGGGAGGAATCCCAGGTTCGTTTCTAGGAAAGTACCAACCCACGCTGCCACCCGGCGGCATTAAACCTTACGGGGGCTCACTGGATGTGCTGACGGCTGACGGATGCTGACGAAGCTGCTTCCCACTCTAAGACCATGTAGGGGAGCACGTTTGCCCTTGGCTGCGCCATACCCCACCCCGTAGAAATTACTAGGGATGAAAACTTCCATGTGATAAACCCCTGACCAGGTTTGCATTTCAGGAATTTAGGAGCCGGCAGGCTTCATTATTTCTGTAGAAAGAAGGCAAGGTAGAGCCCAAGATGACAAACAGCTAGAATTGTTTCCATCACTGTCCTGTGTATACATGCTAGTAACTTAATGAAAACTCAAGGTTATTTTGGGATAACTTGCGTCACTCACATGCCCTTGGCAATTTGGGTGTCTCTGATGACTACCATGTGAAACACCTATCTGAGCTCCGGTGAGGGCATGTCTTTAGGAAGTGTCTTGTCTTTTTAGCTGTTCTTGGGGTAAGCCAGTTCTTGCTCTGCTCTCTGAAAACATACCTTCACATACTTCTTAGAAAGCTAGGACTTGAAGACACACCTGACACAAAGCCCAACCCAAGGGTGGAGGAGCTAAGGATAGGCCTTTACTTTTGCTCGTTATACCTTGGGCTAGAAAGGCATCACTGGTGTGAAGTGCTGTCTCCCTAATGTGGATAAGGCTGCACACACTTTTAGGAAAGAAGTAACCTTTTGCTTTACCTCATTGTATAAAACAAACTAAAGACTGCACAAGTGGTCAGCAGCATTCAGAAATACTGCCCAGTTCAAGGGTCAGAGAAGCTGTATCTTCTCTCTTTCTTCAGTTGTTGGTTGAGAAGAGCGAGAAGCGACCCAGAAGTCTGCAGCCAGCTGAATACAGTAGATAAGAAACACCTTGACATTTCTGTCGCAGGACATTACCCCACTGATTCACAGAACTGCCCTACGTGGAAGAATCTGGCTCATTTAAAAGCCTCTCTTCTTGGGGAAAGATTTTCTGAGTTTCTCCCACACTTTGCTTTTCTGAAAAGAATTATGTAAAAGGGTATCTTATTCCATAAATGTGTGTGTATATATACACACACATATGTCTCTGTGTGTATGAATATATGGGTAGTTTGGAAAGATGTGGTCCATCTCCCTTACAGCACAGTTCCTCTTCCCAAAAGTTCAAATTAGAGAGCAGAGGAAGGGATACTATACAGTTTGCATAGGACACCTTGAAAGATTACCTTCCTCCATGTATATGAACAAGGTCCCCCTGTGAAGGCTTTCCAGAACATACATGTTTTTCAGAACATACATGTCAACGTGAAGGATATTATCCAGAGTAACCTGTCACGAGAGGATGATCACGAGACCGAAGGAATTCTGCTCTAGTTTCCCAAAACCCCCATGTCTACCTTCCTGCACAGAAAGAGCATGTCATTGTGTTGGATCATTTTGCAGCCGTCAGGAGACTATCTCCAGAGCTGAAGGCTATCAGCAGAATACTAATAAACTCCACTTTTCTTCCAAGGAAGTTAGAAGTACTAACTGTAGTTTGGCAGCCATTCCACTTAGGGCTTTTGAGACCATGTGTTAGCTTGCTCTCTTTCAGTTGCTGCATCTGGAACGTGTGTTTCTTCTTGTTGCTCTGTTGTGTAGTGAATATTTCTCCTAAGTGTTGGTTTATAACATGTTGTACTCACTCCGAAAACACCGCACGTAGCAGGTGGTCTAGAAGGAATACACTTGGAAGCAAATACAGTACACTGTAAACCGAGGGAAGCTTTGAGAGAGGTCAAATAGGAAACAGAACAGCACTTCTTCCAACGTGTGCTTTCAAGCAAACGCTAGAGGCAAAAGTTTTGGTGACAGGATAAGAGGGGAAGTCTTCTCCAGTGGCTCCTCATCAACAGACCTTGGGCAACGGGCAACTGGTGAAGAGCCATGTCATGACTCTGGGTCATGAACCTCGTCATGCCACAGCAACCACGGTGGGAGGTGGCAACAGAAAATTACGTAAAGGTTCAAGGAATCTGCACACACCACTCTCAGGGCTCCGGGAGTGCTGCGTAAATACCACACTTACGTGCTTCAGCTCTCCTATATGTACATGCTTATAAGCTTATCACAACCCCACATATATTCCTAGGACGTGAATATAAAACCAGACATGAGCCAAACCAGCGCTGTGCTGTAACGCTTCAGCGATCGACATCTCTCAAGACTTTCTATTAGAAATGGAATGAAATAAACATCAATATGTCTATAACTTAGGCAGAACATCCTTTGTCCCAACATTACACGCTGTAAAACAGAAATGCAACCTACTGGGGATTATTGCTTTGAATCAAACCTATTTATAGACATATGCTTTCCCACAGGTACTTAATTCTGAAAATATGACACAGGGAGTGATTCAAAGCAATTAGCATACTGAAAATGTAACATATACAAACAAATACAATCTGTTGGAATGCAGTTGATTTTGCCATGTTTTTGCCATTTCCAATAACGACGAGAAGCAAGTATTTTAATCTGAGGTTTTGTAAATGCGTGCCTTTCACATACAGAATAGAAACTATCCATGATAAACAGGAAGGGTAACCATAAGACACAATGTTTTTGTCTCCCCTTTACCCTAAAGCGGTTTGAACCTTAACTACATAGTTTTAAATTGTGATCTACAAGCTTATGCTTTACTTACGGGAAGTAAATAGTATTTATTTTCATCTCGCCAAAATGACAAGGCAGCTTCCCCCTGCCTCTGGATGAGATGGGCAACCTCTGCTTTTGCAAATGCCACCATCATCCAACATATCAACAAGCACATCCTAAAGGTTCTGTGCTATACCTAGAGAACGTGTGGACGATGTGGTACCTCTTTTGTACAAGAGAACAGACTTTCCAGGATGTCACTTGCTCTCTTTCCTCAGCTGGGAGCGAGTTTTGCACATCGTCTGCGGAGCGCTCACCTGTGACTAAGGGAGTTTGTGCAGTTGGCTGTTCCAGTAAGACCATGTGTTGCAGGAGAGGGTTATGTGCAGTTCCCCCATCTCTTTCCAACGTTGTAGTGCTCAAGTAGGGGGTGAGGTGGGTGCCAGGAAATAAAGAGATCCGCTGCTGTAAGGTTGGGATGGTTAGTCTCTCCGCATCCTGCTGCGCTGATCCTCCCTGCAAACGCACAATCGACGGCACAGCAGGTTACGGGAGAGATCGGTGCAAGCAACGTGGCAGAGGCTGCATCCCCCATCACTTACGCTGGAAGGGCCGGTGGCAGGCAGTCCTAGTGTGATGTTGGGCAAAGAAGGAGATGTGTAGAGCGGAAGCTGCGTTACCGAGCCTTCACGATTCACGAGTCTGTGAGCCAGGCTGGTCTAGAAACGAAATCAAGAACATTGTCCTGGTGAGAGAGCATCCAGAGATCAGATCAAGGACACAGTACGCTTGCTGTGAGGACACGTCAGAAACGTACAGAGCATGTAACTTCGCTGCTGGCGTTGGAAATACTGAACGGGGGAGCTAAGCTGCGCTTCAGACCCAGCCTAAGTAGGCATAGACTAGGTTCATGCCCTGAATGCCGCTGCCGTGGCCATGCAGGGGTGACGAGACCAGGACAGGCAACACGGGGATGGTCCCGCTTTGCAACTGCCACCAACATCGCTGCCCTACAGCGAGACCTTTTACAGTCGGTTTGACCTTTCCTGGAGACTAAAGGCCATCCTCACCGGTACTCTGCTTCTGCTCGGTCTTCACGCAGTGCCGCTGCAAAAAGCTTTTGTGAGCAAGATTTAACAGCTTACTTGTCCTTCGCAAGTATTTGCCCTTTTAAAGCTAAAACAGATTACTTTAAAAAAAAAAAAAGGCATTACAATGGCTGTTGTTCTCTTTAGCAAATCACAGACAATTTATGTTATTTACCAGTGTGCTTTAGCTTAAATCAGACTTCAAAATTTCATCAAAAAGCCTTAAAGGTTGTGTTTATGTAGCTATTTCCTGATTTTCTGGGTGAAATGCAAGATTTACGGAATTATCTTACGGCCATTTAAAGCAGGAACACTTAAGTAAAAATACCTTTAATTTCAAAACAAGATTCATTGAAACACACACTAGAAAAGCCATTATAAAAATTGCATTATTTTAAACTGCCCGATTTTCCTGTTAGGAAACAAGCGTTCTGATCACTCTGAATTTTCTGCAGGTGATTAAATAAAATAGAGTTTAGCTTTCAAAAATACTTTCTATAGAGTTTCTACCGTTTAACTCGGGTGCTATTATGAAAAAAGGGTTTACGATTAACTTAATATTACACTATGGAACAATCTATATCAATGTAACAGAGATCTGAAGAATGGTGTTACACATTTTAAGATCTAAATTCATAGTCCTGTAAGTCAATGAGATTTTGCAGGTTATTTCCTCGGCTGCAGGGCTAGGACAGCTCTGGGTTATAAAAACTTATTTTTCTCCCTCAAAGACTCTAAGGTGAGACTTCAAAAAACTTGCAGCGATCTTTTAGGGCCGGGGGAAAAAAAGCACATAAGAACTAATATTGAAAACCGAACATTTTCTATAGAACAATCTTCAAAAGCAATTCTGCCTCCTTGATTTACGGCAATTTAACCGGACCAGCCGACAGCTCGAACAGGACCTCACCCCTGCACCCGAGGTTAGTGCTGCCCGGGCAAGAAGGACAGGAGGAGTAAAGCCCATGTTCGTCACCATTATCAGACACCGGGCTACCTTTTCAAACGGACTCGTCGATGTGCCACTAACTTGCCAGTCATTCTCCCAGTGTCCAGCTTTGTCTAAAAAAACAGCGAAGTCACCTAGTTTTCATAAGACCTTGTGCAAAATTTCATCTGCAAAGTGATTTTTTTCTTATTTCCTTTTGCTTTCTTCTGCTTTCATTGATGTCATTCAAGCTTACTGAAAATATATTACAGATCAGTTCTCCTGTAAAAGGAGCAAATCCGTTTGTAAAATCTCAGCTGACAATTTGCTGCCCCAAAGGAGGAAATTTGAAGGGAGCATTTTGCTGTTGAGTGGTACCTGGTAAAGACCTGTGATTGTGCATACCCACACGCTGCTTCTTCCAAGTAATTATGAGCACTCCTGGCAATTTTGCTTTAATTTAAATTAAGTCATGTTAGCGTGCCACATCGAGAATAAGATCGCTATTGTCAGCAGAGTAATGAAATATTTTACCGATATCATAAATGAAACAAAACTACATCCACTTTCTCTTTGAACAATCAATACTCTGTAGTTGTGCCTCAAACTATCTCCTGGGGATTTGTTTTAAAAACAGCGAAGAGAAAAACGCAGCAGCTTGATGCTATCAGCGTATGATATTTAGCAGCATTATCATCACTTTAAATATACACATCTCATCTGCGGGTTGTACACAAACGTTTTGTTGAATTGCACAGAAGAGAACAACTTCAGCACATCCAATTTTCATCTGTAGTCAAGTACTTTTTATAGTCTTGTATCAACTGCAATGGCAATGAATATCATGTACCTTTCAAAGATGGAAAAACCTTTAGATTTAAAAACAGTATTTAAAAATAGCTATTGGCTATTTTATATAT